ATTAGTCCCTCAATTGAGCTGATTGGAAACGTCCCCCAAATAAGAAATTTTACAAAATACAGCAAATGGCCAGAAAAGTAAATACATATAAATGCCACATGAAAGGAGGATTTATTCAACAAACGTGTCACATTCCTGATAGACATACGAGAGTAAGGCCATTTATTCCCAGTAAAAAATTTGCTTGTTTAGAAGAACTAAGCCTGGAGATATGAACTGGAGACAAAATTTGAGATTCTTTAATGAAAAAATTCCAATTATTGTTTAGAGTATAGGAATTAGAAAGGATGAATGGAGCTCGATTTGTGAAGAGGAACAGCTGGCTGCCCAAGCTGAGACTAATAATGTGCTCTATTTGTAAAAAGATGTTTTCGAGTTAAAAATGTGGCCCTGCTTAGATCAGAATTTTCCTACAACAGCCCCAAAGTAGAAAATGTGGTAGCCTCATTTTACAGATGAAGATACTGACGCTACAGAATTCCGAATGACTTCCCCATTCTCACTATTGGAGCTTTCTCTTAAACTGGCTGAATAAATTGTTGCGATTCTGAGTTGGAAGGGATGGAAACTGGATTGCTATCTCAACATTCTTCTGACCTTAATTCATATTGCAGTGTAGATGAAATATGCACAGCCCTGGGTCTTTCTCAACTCGTGGGCTTATACTTCCTTATCTCCAAATTTTCCAGAGTTAAGGAAATATTCTGGGCCCTTATTTCGACCTTCTTCATGTATGATCTTCACACATTTAAAAAAACAAAACAAAACAGGAACACAGTAACATTTTACAGAATCTAAGATGAACAATTTTTCATATTTTAACGTCTCCAACATTGGGAAGTGTCTTATCATCAGCGGTTTATTATAATCACTATGTAGCAGCACCAAACATGGATTTCATTGCCAGCATACACATTAACTTGGTCATAGCTGCTTACACTGGCATTGCCTCCATTGAGTTAGGCAATTATTGGTACATGGGCAGAAATTTATTGTGTATGCAGAAAGGGGTCTACATTTAATACTAGTGATATGAATACTTATTTTGGAGTAATGACCATTATTTCATATTTTTTCACAAAGCAACAACTTCATGCTCTACAGGACCTAAGAAGGGAAGATATCCACAATTAGCTAAAGTATTTTAATTTTTATCATTGACACAGGCATGACATGGTTAACTGTACTAAGCAAACATGCACTAAGCAAAACAACCAAAAGCAAAAGAAAATTTTTTAAATTGCTAAATCCTTCAGAATACATGAAAGAAATTTCAAAGCAACAAGAAGCTAAAGTGACTGACAATTGTGCTGAGCAGGACTATTGTTAAAGTACTATGACATAGTTTAATTTGCTATAACTTTTCATTCTTGGCTGTAGTAAAATATGTTTTAACTTATGATTTATGGCATCTTAGATTCTATGACATGTTGTAATCCAGATCCAACCAGCATTGTTCTGACCCCTCTTACTGTGTCTGCAGCTATCTTCCCTGCTGGGCTGATGGAGAACACCATCAGGAAGCCCAGGGCATTCAAAACCAAGACCAGACATTGAATATTTGCTATACTGATTTTGATCATGAAATTAACTCACTCTGAAGGCAAATCAATCTTTTGTTCATCTCAACACAAATGTGCCAGACCACAATTTTTATTTCATTACAAAGAAAATTGGTCTAAGCTTTCAAGATAATGTTCTTTATAATTCCCTGGTAATTGTAAAAATACTCATTTTACATTATTTTCTTGGCAATTTAAAACATTGGAGATTACATTAAAATATTTTTTATATAAGAACAAATAGGAAGGGGGATGGTTCTAATATAGTTATGGCCAAAAAAAAAAAAAAATAGATGTTAAGATGTTCTTTTCATATATTATAAATTTTTAGAGACCAGGAAATGTTGTGTATGCATCAATGTATAATCCATTGCAGTAGCAAAGACCCCATGGGTTATTATGTCAGCAGAACTGAGATACTCAGATGTGTTTGATGGTAGAAGCAAGCATTCCATCAACTTGGTTAAAGGATACAGATCAGCCAGTGGATGCTGAGTTATGTACCTTCCTGACTGTTGCTTTGACCCCCATGGATTTATCACCCCTCTTCTCCTGGGTGACAGAGCCATAAAGGATTACTCGAAGCCTATCTCTTCTGAGCAGTGAGAAGCCCCAAAGTGGTTAATCTCCCCCAGAACCCTCAAGCGAGTGGCATTCCTTCCATTTGGGAAATTAACCCCAAATGGGGTTCTCTTCCTGCATTTATTCTCCAGACCAAGAAGTTACAGGAAGAGACATAGGTGGGATTTTTGCTAAGTACCGTTTTACAAGTTTAACAAGAGAAGCTGGTAACATTCTGTAAAAACAAGTCAGATGACATTCCCTTAGACAATTAAGTGATCTGCCAACAAAAGCTTGATCTAGCAAACATTCCTTCTCCCTACAGCAGCTTCCCAGTAACTTTACATATCAATCAGTAAACAGTCTGTCTTTGAGCCAGCAACCTTGCTATGTTACAAATCTTTATTTTACACCAGAGACTTTATAGCCTGAGGAAAATTTCCTGTCCTTTGCATGGTCAATATTTGAAACTGCAAGGCTTTGGAAAACCAGGCCCTGTGAAGTACATTTGCTTTATGAATCCTCTACACCTGATCCTCGTAAATGTATACCCTGGGTTGAGTTTATACAGTCAGGGATGCAGTAGGATGAGTTTTCCAGGCCAGATGAGTGCCAGATTTCCTCAAGTGAGAGTTTGTCCTCAGGAAACTCAAGAAGTTGTGTCATTTGCATCCTGGCCCCAACTCCTTCCTTACACAATTATGACACTCTCCTGTGAACTCCATGTCACTAATAGCACTCTGGGCATCTGATTTCCAGCTGTACTACCAGGAACTTTCTCCATTAACATGAGGATTCTCTACCTAGAGCCTTTATAAGCATAGGCCACGCGTTGGATTACAAGACTTATAGTAGTATGGGGATAATTTTTAAAAAATTAAAAAATACATAAGGAAATTCAATGAGATTTGAGATCCTTTAAAAGGAACTTTGGACTTCCTTTGTAAAAACATATTGGCATTTAAGATTTAAGATTTGTCCAGATGTGGGATATTTTTTACACCTTAATTCATTATGAATTCATCATGTTTCATATACCCCACATGTAAGATGTGGTAAGAAAAAAGCATACAGTTTAAATTTTCTGACTTTATTTCTCCTGTTTATGGATACATGCCAAATCTTACTGTTGCTAAAATATATATATATTATTAACTTAGCCATCAGAATTAGAAAGGTCATACACCCCAGCTTTTTCTGACAAAATATGCTGTGCCTCTGGGATGTCTAGGTAGAATCAAGAGTATATCTCACCAGAGATTTTAATCTCATTTGAAAACTTGCACTTGGTTCAGGGGAATACTCTGGAACAAAACCCTATCTGCCTCTTAGCTCTTTCCTTTGTTCTCAGGAGGGAGACACAATGATCACATGTCATTAAAAGCTCTCCTGCTGTAGTTTAAAGCTATTTACTTTTTACTCTCTGTTCAAGTTGAGAAAAGCTAATCTCTGTTTTATATTCAGTAATTCTAAAAGACTTGACAATTAGTAAGACCATTCCCAAGCTTCCCTTTTCAGNGTTCAAGTTGAGAAAAGCTAATCTCTGTTTTATATTCAGTAATTCTAAAAGACTTGACAATTGTTAGTAAGACCATTCCCAAGCTTCCCTTTTCAAGTTCAAGTTGAGAAAAGCTAATCTCTGTTTTATATTCAGTAATTCTAAAAGACTTGACAATTAGTAAGACCATTCCCAAGCTTCCCTTTTCAACACTTTACAAATCTGTTTCTTCAAACTTTATTTGTTTAGCTTTTCAACATTTCAGTATCTCTCTCCTGGCCACCCACTGGGCAATATCTTTTCCACCCATCTGAGCCTGTTGTCAGATAAGAACATGGCCAATATAAAGGGAGGATTAGAGAACATGACTTCCTCTCTGAATGACAATAAATGCACTAGAATTTCACTTCTCAAACTTTTAATGAGTAATATGGAAACATGTTTAAAAGCACAGGCTTGAGAGCCATACTGCCTGAGTGAGATTCCCAGACCTGTCACTTTACCAGCTGAGTGATTTTGGGCAAATCATTTATCCTCTCTATGCCTCATTTATCTCAACTGTAAAATGGGGATAATAATATCCCCCTTGAGTTACTCTAAGGATTAAATTAAGGTAACATATGTAAGGCATTTAGAACAGTACTTGAAAATGTTAACTATTATAATTATTATCTAAGTTTCAAAATCAAATGTTGGTTATTTGCATTATGATTCACACTAGAAGCTTATTCTGAATTGAAGATATCCTGTTTGTAGTAACTTAAAACACCAGCCTGTTGTATTGCAATTTTGATAGTAATCAACTTGGCATTTTTCTCTTAAAAATGTAAGGCATGAGTATATTAGTTCTTATGATTCCTTTTTTTGAAATTATTATCCACAGATTTCCTAAGCTCCAATTACCTTAGCTCTTTAAGATGTTACTGTGACAAGGGAAAATGATGTTTTTGTGTGATGGACTGGCAATAGGGTGACCAACCATTTTGGTTTGTCTAGGACTTAGGAGTTTCTCAGGACATATAACTTTTACTGCTAAAACTGGGAAAGTCTTGGCAAACCTGGATGGTCGGCCACCCTAGCTATAAAGGTATTACAAAAGACAGAAGTAGAAGAGAGAAAGGAAGTAGCAGGAATAGTATTAATTTTGACAAATAAAAAGAATTTTAGTACAGCACCACTGTTCTCTTGATTTTTGACTCATGTAATCTCTGATGAATTTCTGAAGGGTGAAATTGCACTGTACTAATTAATTCTAAATGTCAAGAATTTGGCCTTCGTTTTTTTGTTATTATCATCATCTGTGAGATATATTTTTTCTCTTCCATTGTATGCTGTTCTGCATTCTTCTGATCATTTTGTGCTTGTTCTTTTTCTTTTAGGTCAACTCAAATCAAAACCTACTCTTGGGATAATGCCCAGGTTATCCTGGTTGGCAACAAATGCGACATGGAAGACGAGCGGGTCATCTCAACCGAGAGAGGCCAACGCCTAGGAGAACAGCTTGGTGAGAAACAAATTAGCAAATTAATGAGAAAGAGAGCTTGATGATTATTTTTAACAATGTACAGAGTCGCATGTACAGTCCCATTGCCAGGGTGGGGTTAATGAAAAGTTTCTCAACCTGACAGTGGAAAACAACACATCCTCATAAGCAGTCACTGCATTTCCTCCCACTTCATGTGGCTTCATTTGAATTCAAGCACAACTTATAGAAGCAAAAATGATGCCCAGAATTTTGGTCTTAGTACAAGGTGTTCAAATTCTTATTGCACAAGAAACACAGACTATGCCTTGACCACTATTTCTTTGTTTTTTCTCTATACACAATATCTTTCATTCAGTGAGTATTTTATTGTGTGATTACCATTGTTCTCAAGTGTCCATTGGAAGATGGTAATGGCACAGAATAGGTCACATCCTACATGCTGGTTCTAGGGCCACGACTGATAAACTATATTACTGTTACAAATCTCTTTGAGACTCAATCTCTTCATCTCTCAAGAATGAGTATCATAATCCATGCCTACTTAACCAAGGCCTTGTAGATAAGATTGAATGAGATAATAAATATGACAGAGCTTTAGAAATGGCAAGGCCATAACAAACACAAAACACTGTATCTAAAGAGAAAAATGCCATAGCGACTAGGGTAGAGTTTCTGTGCAAAGGGATTGATGATTGATTGATTGATTGACTCAAGAACTTTTTACTGAGCACCTATTACATGTCAAACATCATGGGGAATACAAAAGAAGTATGATCCACAGTCCCTGGGCTCAAGTTGCTTTCCATCAAGTGGGGAGACTAGAGATACACACAAGAAGGTAGAGGTAACAGGACAACAAAAACAGGCCAATGAGATGATGAGCTAGAAAGCAGATGTGAAAAGGAAAGCAAAAGGGAGAGGAAAGTAGACACAGGGATGGAGAAAATATTGCCAGAAGGAGGTATGGGAGTGCAGCGGGATAGCAGGCAGACAAAGAGCAGTGCAGGGAAGACACCTGGACAGATAATGTGTGGAAATGAGCAGGACCACCAGGAAGAGGTGAGTGGTGGGAGGAGATGGAGATTGCATGTGTTCAATGGCAAGATACAGCTTGAATGTACCCTAAAGGACAGTGGAATGTAAAAACTACAAAGAGGAGAGGGACATCATGAGGAAAAGACATGGAGGAGGGTGGATATTGAGATGAACATTAGTTGAGAGGACGGTGAATGGAACCTAGCATAGAGTTGTGGATGTGAGTTGTAGATTGGGGGGAAGGATTCCAACCCTAGAGGTAAAGGAGTTAGAATTTTTGTTTGATTTTTCATTTTTTCTTTAGACAACAGGGAACATTGACGGATTGTTTGCAGAGAAGAACCTTCCAACCTTTTTGGCCTGGACTTTTGTGAGAAATACATTCAATCTAACAACCCAGGGCATACATATGTAAAGAGAGAGAATTACACATAAGTTTCACAAAACACATTTTAGCTTTACTAAATGAGATTCCACACTATTTTCTATCTTAACCTCTTTCTTCTTTTTAATGATGGTCTCAGTCCACTAGTTGATCCCCCACCTCAGTAATAAATTCCAACCCATAATTTGAAAAAAACTGCTATGAAGGGGGTGATTTGGGATTAATCTGCTGGTGGTGTACAGCATGGATTGGAGAAGCAGGGACCCTCTCCATGGGTCACTGTCCCTTGGCAAACCTCATAACTGAACTAGGTATAGTCCACTCTGAAAGCTTGACCGTGAGATTCATGAGCTCATTAGACTAAAAGTTATCACTGAGTGACCACAAGAACCCTTCCACCAAGCATTCTTAGAGCTACCCATGAACTGATATCTGGTCTCACTGTGGCTACTCTTGAGCCTTTCTTTTCTCTGTCATAGAGCTTCTCCCCAGTCTATCAATTTAACGATGGTTTAAGAACAGCCTGAAAAACTTGGCAATCTTTTTTAGTCCTGTTAGTATCTCAGGAAAACGGGAATGGAGAACAGTAAATCCCCAAGAAAAGAGAGAAAGAAAACTGGGAGATGGTTGGCAGGATGGCTTCCTAAGACCATCTCTTCTTTCCCACCCTGGAAATATTTTCTTGACCACCCAGATGTATGCCATGTAGGGGAAGAAACTGCTACACAGGCTGTCCTTATAAATAAACCCGAACACTAGTTCAAAGAAAATATGTAAGAGCCAAGAATTGTATAATGTCATTGATACAAAAGAGCCGGGTGGGGGCCGGCCCGGTGGCGCACTGCTACAGTGCGCCGCTTGGGAGCGCGGTGGCGCTCCCGCCGAGGGTTCGGATCCCACATATGGACCGGTTCCCGCTCACTGGCTGAGCGAGGTGCGGTGCAGCGCTGAGGGTTGCGGTCCTGTTGCTGGTCCCGGTCCGGTGCGGGTGCGACACTGAGGGTTGCGATCCGTTGCCGGACACGAAAAAAAAAAAAAAAAGACAAAAGAGCCGGGTGAATGGCTAAATTTATTTACTACTCTAATAAATTACTTGGGTATTGAGAAGATCAGATTATGGATCAGATTTCTTGGGTAATGATAATGATGGAAATGCATCAAAAAGGTGACTTTCCTTAGAACTCCATTGACTGGCACACTCTATTTCCATCCAGTACACAGATGTTGGAAAGTTCCTGAAATTGTGAGGCAGAAATGTTTTATGTTCCTGTGCAAGTTCTCCTAATGTCTTCTAATTGATTTTTTTGTTGTCTTTTAATAAAACCCAGCAGTTGTCATAGCAACCGACACATGCATTCTTGGAGAGTCATTTACCTCCTTTAATGTGGTTTGTTCTCCTCATGACTACACACGCTTCTGCAAATGATCATGAGAGTTCATTTGTATGGAACAAAAACATTCTTACAATCTAAATTTAAAGGTTTTAAAGGTCTTTGCTTTATTTTTTAAAATTACTGGTAACATCCCATTCTCCAGAATAACTTCATGTAGATGCAGAGGTTAGGCATTGTTTTTTAAAGGTCATTACCATATCCTGGCAGGTAGCTCAAAATAACTGCTTTATCGATCTGGTTACAATTAGTTCACCATTGTGGATGGTTATATTCATGTAACATTTGCTCATCTTAGTGAGAGTACTTAATGGAACCAAGCTGTAGTTTGTCAAACATTTACTAAGTGCTTATAATATGCCACGTGCTGGAAATGCAATGACAAATAACCCTTCTAGGAACGAACATGATAGGACCTTAGATAAGACTATGACAGTGAGCATTTTTCTGGCCTTCCCTTTCCTGGCCATTTTGTTTCCTTTGGCCCTGTTGAGCACCTCCTCCTAGTTGCACTCTGCCACCCTGGCTTTTATGAGCAGGTGCTCTCTGTTCTCCTGCTCCCTCTCTGCTCATGTGTTCTATTTCCTTGGTAGACTCCTCCTCCTCTTTCTGTCTCTCACACTCAGGCTTTCTATGCTTGGCCCACCACTCCTCTCTCTACACCCTCCCTTGGATATTCCCATCCACTCCAAGGTTTTAAACTACAGACTAATGACTGCCAAATCATGTCCCAGCCCTAACCTCACAGTGGAGCACAGGCTCCTGTGTCCCCCTGCCAGCTGTGTATATCCAGTCCTTCTGATTTAGGGTAATTTTCTAGTCATGTGCAGCTGAATCAGCCAGGGTTCCTTTTCTCCCATTCAACCCCAACTTGGACCTGCTGCATCAGAGTTTTTGAAGTTGAACCTTAGGGATTTATATTTTTAACAAATCCCTTTGTGACTTTTATACAGGACTAAATTAGGAGTATTTAGATGGGGTAGGGAATTGTTGCCAAAGCTGAACATGATCTATAGCTGGTATTATTACTACCATGCATGTTTTTAACATTGCATGTGCCTCTAACAATATATAAGAATGTTTTGTGGTTTTAGTTTATATAAAATTTATAATATGGCAATTGTATATATGTACAATCTCACGATTTAAGTTTTAAATGTGAAACTATTAAATGTTAGATAATAAAAAAATGGGAGATATAATTGAAGATATAAGTTTTCCTAGAATAGGAGTAATTTAACTGGGAATAAGAACAAAGAAATTTATGGAGGGGAAGAGATTTATATTGCCTTGGAATTATAGGTAGAAGAATACTTGAACCATTTTTATGTGTTCTTAAAGGCAGAAAGTGCAGAAACTTCGAGGTTTCCCAAAAATGTAGTCAGAGAAACAAAGACTAAAGATAACTTAAAATTGCTTCTGGAGAGAAGTAATTATTTTTTTATTAACAGCTTGTAAGGAGCCAGTTTTGAAGTGTTTTTAATTTGCATTAATATTTTTTTCCAGAAGCAAATAACAGATAATATTCTCAATTACTTTGCAATCAGACAAAGTGTTATGGTATCATGTGGATATATGACTGAATTCCAGACCCATTCTCTGTGTCCATCCATCCTGTCCAGAACAAAGATCTTGTGAGGATTTCATATTTAAAAAAAAAAAATTATTGAATCATATTGATTGTACATATTTATGGGGTGCAGTGTTATATTTCAATACCTGTATACAATGTGTGATGATCTGTTCAGGGAAATTAGCATATTCATCATTGTAAAACTTAATCATTCCTTTGCGATGTGCACATTTGACCTCTTCTAGTCGTTTGGTAACATGCAGTAAATCATTGTTAATTATAGATTCCTGGGTCAGCTGCACACTAATACAACTAATTTTCTTATCTATCCTATCTAACTGCAATTGTGTGTCCATTAACCAGCCCCTCACTGTTCCCTCCCCCCTTCCCACCTCTAGTAACCACAGTTCTTCTCTCTTTAACAATCCATGAGGATTTCTGACAACCACAAAATACTCTTAACACTTTGCCATCTTTCAAGCTATACAATTTGTTTCCCCTTCTTTTCCCATTTAATGACTTTTTTGTTTTGATTACTCGTCTGACAAATACTTACTAAACACCTATAATGATACTGGCAGTCTTAAAACATGTATCTTCCCTCTTGTGGGGCTTAAAGTGTGGTTGATATATC